TACGACCATAGCGTTCTATCTCCGGCCGGGGTGCGTGACTATACAATCGTGGCAGTAAGTAGGTCGCCGCGCCGGCCGCCGCAGCCAGCAATATCGCGGCGAATTTGCAAAGAACTCAGCATCCAAGCATTGGGGAATGTAAGATTAGATCATGTTTCCCGTCATGAAACATGAAATAAGAACCACTTAAACCTTTAAAATGCAGTTTCGTTTTCGCTCGCCGTTATTACATACTTATCATATCATGCTTATGTTTGAGCCTTCCTCGCCGCTACTCTGTGTCTTGATACGCAATATTCTTTCAGATTGAACCAGATTATCACTCTCTGATAGAAATTCAGGAAACTGATTAATAAAGAAGTCAAATGAAATCCTAAAGGACAACCTTTACACGGTACAGTTTGTACTGCGAGGCTTAAATCACTGCAGGGATCTTACAGTGACGCTTGCTGGCTTACTGATGTCCAGCACTCTGGTGTTATCAGTCACCTAGCCAACTTATGAGCATGGATGGATAAGAAAAGGTCCACACAGAAATCGCCGCAGCAACTGCCGCACGCGACGATTCTCGCCGCGTGAGCGGCGTGACCTCATTAGCCGACGATTGTATAGTCCGTCGCCTTCGGGCTCCCAGACAATACCTAACCATTTGGGCGCGGCCGCGGCGAACGCGGCCGAGTCGATTGTGCCCGCGAACCGTTGAAAACGCACTCGAGGTGCCCGCGAACTGTGCTGTGCTGAGTTCGCGGGCACCTATCAACTCGGCCGCGTTCGCCGCGGCCGCGCCCAAATGGTTAGGTATTGTCTGGGGCCATGTTTCACTTTTTTGTATTGCCTCAGTCTTTTTTGCGGGGAAGATTTATTCACTGTGTGCTGATGATGTGTTTTAGGGACGACGAGGCTGCTGAACGAAAATTAGCGTCATTGGCCGCCAAGAAAGACGAAGATGAAGTGAAATGGGATGAAGAAAGCGACGATGACATACCTAGTAGGTGTTGCGATTCCACGTCTGGCAGGAGCGCAAAAAGCAGCTTGCGATGCTGGTTAATGATTAATCGCGATTTGAACCTAATCACCAGCGAAGAAGACAACGCGTGGTAAATAGGTCCTTTTTTATTAGTATGTCACCTTCGTCGCAGCTCGATTCACAAGCGCTCTCAGTTTTTGAGGACAATATTGATCATTAGCGAAAACCAGTTTTTTGTCTGGCACGAGGCACCAACCTAATGTGGGGCTTATTTTCGGAAGTTTTTTTAGTATTGGTAATTTTTCGAGAATTTTGCAGACGTTTACGCTACTGCACACATTCTTTACTGTAATGGGCTTCGATTGGAAAAATAACAACAACACAGACGCGTCATTGTCTAGGGGAGAATTCAATAAAAAGGCATTGTACCAACCGCTATATGTGAGCACAAGGGCTAAGCCAATAGAGCGCCGCGCCAGGATTTCACGTCCTCCCAGGATACCTTCTCGCTATTTAAAGGCTTAGGTTCCAGCTCTTAACTGTGGCGGCGTTTAAGGAGCACTCACTCCAATATCCCTAGGAACATGAGCAGACTCAAAAAGCTAAGGTGAAACCGTGGTGCATGCGTGGCTTGCTCAAAAGGAAGCTCTGTTTACCGTGGCTGGGTGGGTCGCAATGGCTAAATTGATTACATGCATGAACCCACAAAGCTCATGTGATATAGATTTTTTCGAGATGTTATGTGGGGAATGAGTTTTTTTTTTTCAACTGAAGTTGTAGAAGAATTTAGTTTAACTTTGGAGGTCGGTTTTAGTGCATATCACAATCTGAGTAGGATGTGTCACGAAAGTTGGATGTGGCGGTCGCGTACTGTGGTAGTATTGCGGTAAGCGTGTATCCAATATACTTAGTGGAATCAGTGAAACATGCGGAAACAGTTCATTACGGACTCAGTGAGGCGTGGCATTACTGACCGATACAGTCCTACTCTGACGGCGAGATAAGGCGCCTCGCTACCTAGGGTATTATAAGACTTCACAGGGCGTAAATTGTCCTACTTATTTATTTTGGGGCGTCTCCTCGCAATGCGGGTTTGTTGATGGGGTCCGTCCAATGAGGGTAGGAGGCTTTTATTTTTGTGACCAAAATCTTTCATGTGCTCTTAAAAACGATTACTTATATAGTCGCTTCTAGAATTGCAGAAGGAGGGTACGAGGGTTGGCTTCTTCTAGATGATTTGGAAGCCTAATGTAAGATCCCTCTAAAATGGTAGCGGTCCTTTTTCTCATGTCGTAACATTCTTGTCGCATATCATAGTGCACATACTTTTTTTTGGAAATTTTATTCATTATTTTTGGGAATTTTAATGTCATCTATGTCCTTCTTTTTGCAGATGGATGACGATGCCGATAACGACGACAGTGATGCGAAGTCAGAATCAGATTCTGAAAAAGTCGAAGAGGTAGTTGTTTTTAAAACTTCAACTTATGTTTTCTGTCATTACTGGATGAACACGGCACTTGAGTTTTTATAATGATCACCCACTTATTTGTTTCAATTTTTGAACTGATAATAATTAATATGAAATATGAAACACGTAATGGCGACATCCTGAAAATATTTCATCACTAGCTTTGAACTGGTGTGTATTTGCCCACGCGTAATCTTTTTTGCATTTGCCAATGGTCGCATGACCATCTATACAATTGTTCGCCATAGAAGGCCCATTTGGTATACGTGACTTTTTCACGCGTAGGAATCGTTCAGCCCTAAATGGCACATGGCTTCATCTTTTCTGTGTTCTTTTTGATATGTGAAATTCGCTTCCATAACCATAATGAAAAAAATATGTAGGTAGTAGAAAAGAAGCCTCCGGCGCAGGAGAAGAAGCAGGAAAAGAAACCTGAAACAACAGCACAAACAAAGCAAGACAAGAAGAAGGCAAAGAAGGGCAAGAAGGTTTGTGGTGATTGCTATGAGTTTTCGATATCGTCGATCAATACATAACTTGTATTGGCAATTTGTGGAGAATTCAGGGAAAGCAAGAGGAGGATGACGATCTCGATGCTATATTGGCAGATTTGGAGTTAAATGAAAAAGCGGCTCCTGCTAAAGGTAAAAAGAAAGGTGGCAAGAAGGACGAGAGGTGGACTCTGCTCCACTTACTGAAGAAAGCAAAGAAGCAACGCCTGCACCAGTGGGAAGCTGTGCAAAGTATGTGTTTTCCCCTTTTAGCTCATTTCTTTGCTGCAAGTTGTAGTTACCGTTCATAATTTTCATGGTTTTCCTCTTTACAGTTCCTGCTGCGCCAGAAAATGTAGAAGTAGCTGCGGAAGAGGGTAAAAAGAAAAAGAAGAAGAAAGAAGGACAAGAAAAAAGGAGATGTCGTTGATGAAGAGGAGCAGGCGGAAGAGAAAGCTGCAGATGAGGTAACGAGTTACTTTTGAGTGAGTAGCTGCTAGATTTGCAGCATTGAGACTTATGTCAAATACGTTTCCCATCCCTTAGTATGTTGATTATCTGCCTTTTCTGCTTTCTAACGGTTTCCACCGGTCCTTTTGATTCCTAAGTGAATGCCAAATGTCCAGCTTAAATTGGAACTTGTCCGCTTGGAGCTGACTAATTGTTTAACCCTTTCGGACCTGAATTTTTCCCCGTGGAGAATTTTTCTTCTAGCTATTGTTTATTACTTGTGAGCATATAGGTATCATTATGGCGAAATTTGGAAGCTATTCGATCACAAACAAAGAAACTAAGAAGCTTTGAAAATTGGCCCACCTTCTTAGTTTTTAAGCTTATGTCGAAACAATTCGAAATTTCATAGTTATGCCGAAAAAGTTTATAATCTTGCATAACATTATAACCCATAATTTTGATTAGGAATGGATCTACTTCAAGTATTTTAAGAAAAAGTCACACTTACTTGGCCGGTTGCGGGGGTCAGCGCCCATTCATTGTTGCACTTGTACACAAATACTTGTAATACTAACAGCAACACACAATGAAATGGCAGGTTTAGCTCATAATTAGGAAGGGGAAGGTTGACTGAAGCAACCTCTAGCAGGATTAGAAAAACCATGCTGTTTCAGCGGCAATGCAAGCGTTTGAATTTGGTGGTGGCAATTGCCACCGCCAGGGCCGAAAGGGTTAAAGTTGAATGTATAAACTTCTATATTGATGAACCCGGCAGAGGTCATCGGAACTGTGTCTTCATCTCAGAACTTTGAGACATATTGAAGATTTCGTTCCTTAATTCTGAAGGCAAATCGCTTAAATGCTTGGCGAATCTGAAAAATTTATCGACAATTTCTCCAAACGTTCTTGTATGCCGTGAGTTAAGATATTCCTCCAAAATCTGTTAATGTATTTCATGGAGACTAAAAGACAAGCGAGCGATGTTGACGAAGGGCAAGACGGTGAAGCGGAGGGTGCGGATGACACAGCCAAGGACAAGAAGAAAGAAAAAGACAAGAAAAAGAAGGATAAGAAAAAGGAGAAGAAGAAAGAGGAGAAGGACGATGGGAAAGGCAAAAAGAAGAAGCATGTATGCTTTTCAATTTGTTCTATTTCTTTTCGTTCCCATAAAAAGAGCTACATATTCACCTTGGTTTCTATTAGGTTGATATGATCAAAGAACTCTTACGTGCGAAGCAAGAAGCTGAAGAAGCCGAGTTGCGCAGACAGAAGGAGGAACGAGCGACCCTTGAGCCTATCGCTCGGGCTCCATGGAGAGAGTTCTTGAATAGGAGCTACCCCTATTTCGCCGTCATTCTTTATCAACTACCAAAAGCTTACTGTGCATTATGATAGATGTCGACTTTCAGGAGCGAATAGCTAAAGAAAAGCGAGAAGCAAGGAAAGCTAAGGAAAAAGCGGCGATCGAGCGTAAAAAAGCCGAAGGAACGTATATGACCGCTGCTCAAAGGGAAGAAGCAACGCATAGCCGCAGCTAAGCTGGCTGCAGCAGGATGCGAGTATCGTTTCTTGATTTCGATGGCAAAATTCGTAAACTTTCCATTATCCTTTATTTTTCAGTCGTCAAGCCCAGATACCAACGTCGATGAGCAGCGGTGATTTCTGCCAAACTGGACCGGACGCGCTAAAGAAGAATTTGGCTTGAGCAAGCAGAAGGATAAGGAGGAGCAAACTCAACGCTGCAGCGAACAGAAAAGAGGAGAAGAGCCAGCCAGGCTTGCCAAAGGTTGGATCTAGATGTTTTTTGTTTAGAAGATCTTGTTCTCAATCTTCTGTTTAGAAGCCTCAGAGACGCCACCTCCGTCTAAAGAGGAGACTCCAGATAAGTCACCGGAAACGGTTGGTTTCTGTGATTGTTTTATTTTTCTGTAGTCATCAGTCTTGAACTTTTTGTGTGTTCTCGGTGGGTCATGAACCAAGCAATCTATTGGCAATTTTTGGGGCCGTTTTCAATTGTTGCATAATATAACTGGCGGCGTCAATTTACTGGCAAGATTATTTCTTGTATGGAGGGGATGTTGCATTTGAGGTAATAAACATCTGCTGGATCGAAATCCGCTGCTAAACGCCTATTTTCTGAGCTGGACGAATGTCGCCCGGACACCAAAACTGAAGTTTTCTGTCAATGGTCTTGTTGTACTCTTTGTGGAAATTTACAGCGTGTGGTCCTATTTTTGGCACGGCATCTCCAAATAGAAGTAAAATCGTGAGGTGATCCTCTGTATTACATTTCTCGGCACAAGTGGCACTGGGGACAAGTGCTTCTTCAGCTAGTCAGGCAACTTCTGGCCCCAAAATAGGGCCTTCTCAACGCAAGATGCAGCGTATTCCCGGCATCACTTCGCGTCTCTCTTGAGTGGGTGTACAGTTAGCCCTTGCATGTCCAATAGGTCGATCAACTACTACTGTAGCTCAGGGCTATCAGAATCGCTGCTAATATACAATCGTCACGAAAGTGTACCACCAATTTTCAAATTCTTCCACAGAAGAACATAGACGATTGGAAATGGTTCTTCAGAAGCGAAGCACAGCCAAGAAGGTCTGAGGAACGTCGGCGCTGAGAATCTGAAGTTAAAGCGGCGCCACGGACTATTGAAGAGGTGTCATCGGAAACTAAAACGGTATTTTTGGTGTTCAATTTTTTCTACTTCTCCTTATATGGTGAAGCTTCTTTTTAGAGCAAGTGAGGAAACTTGAAGAAGAATCGTCTGAAGGAGGGAATAGCTCCGAGGAGAGTGAAATGTGAGGAAGAGTCTTGCGAGGCGAGATAGTCGCTCGAAGGCAAATCTCACAACAGAGGAGTGATGAGGCTGTGGCGACAACGACTGATTTGTAAGTGGACTTATCCGCATCGGTTTTCTTGGTCAAATTTCCAGCATTTCAGATCAACACATTTGGCTTTTGGCTCTCCTTTGCAGAATCAATCGAAGTTTTTTTTTTCTTCAGAAACGTCGTGAACTTGCCGAGTCTAACGTTCCAGAGACAATTTGCGCGCTCCTGTGATCTGCGTTCTGGGTCATGTCGATACTGGAAAGACGAAAATGCTGGATACCGTATGTTATACATTTTTTGATTGCCCATATTAACTTTCGAGCTTCTTGCAGGCTTCTCTTATCCTAGTACCTAAGTTTCATAGTACCTCAATGTTTCAGATTCGGCGAACAAATGTTCAAGATGGTGAGGCTGGTGGTATAACACAACAAATTGGTGCCACCCAGGTTCGGCTTTTTTGATTCCATAACTCTGCTCTTTTCCTATGTACCGTTTCTTTTAGGTGCCAGCCGACGCGATTAAGGAGCGGTGTAAGCAAGTGAGAGACTTCAATCCAGATGCTGTGAAGATTCCAGGCTTCCTTATTATTGACACACCGGGTCACGAAAGTTTTGCGTAAGTGTTCAATGATGATGAAAATTTGCTTTTGGTTTTTCCCAAGCATTTTTCTCAGAAACGACTATTTCTGTTCAGTAATCTTCGTTCTCGTGGATCATCGCTTTGTGACTTCGCCATACTTGTGGTAGACATTATGCATGGACTTGAACCGCAAACGATTGAGTCGCTGAAATTGCTCCTCAAGAGGAAAACACCATTTGTTGTTGCTCTGAACAAGGTATGTTTTGCGTAACTAAATCTTGATTTTGTAACATAATTTGCTAAATCTTCATGGTTTGTGTTGTTTTTGAAGAGAAAAGTTCTGAGTAAATAAGAGTTCTGTGATTTCATCCTGGATTCCTTACGAGAAATTGATTTTTTCCTAAGGTTTTCGTCCAGTATTTGTTAGTTCATAACGATTATGGGGTTCCATCCAGTAAGGAGAGCTTGTGGTGCGTCAGTTCATATCGCCTTATGTGACCCATTTCCTTTCGCTAGCGAACGAAGTTCCGGGGTGGATGTTAAAGCAAAAGCGAAAAGGTTTACGCTTTCCGGGATTTCCACCAACTGCAAAAATACGAATTTTTGCGAACGGCAGCAACTGTTGCACCAGAGCCCCCCCCCCCTGTTGGGTAAGTCCCCAGTTGAGTTTTGAATTAGCTGGGTAGGTATAAGCGATTGATGTGCTAGGTAGATTATACTGATTTTGAATTCCTTTCTTACTTGCTCTAATAATTTGAATGCGCGGTTATTTTGAAATCCCCTCCATGGTTGCGGTCTACATTCGTATTTCGCAATAACTAGGCTTTTAAATTGAATGCATTGTGTTTTCAGATTGATCGATTATACGGATACGAATCGAACCCACGCAAAGACGTCTATCAACATTTGAAATCTCAACCACAAAACACACAACTCGAGTTTAAAGAGCGCTACGATAAGATTGTTGGAGAATTCGCTGAGCAGGTGCGTGGACACAACTGTTACTGGTTACATTGATTTTTAAAAGGCATTTGGCTTTAAAAGGTCCAAAATGCGCTTCTTATTGATTCCTTATAGGCTCTCAACGTTTGCCTGTCCTACCAGAACAAAAACCTTGATGAATACATCAGTATGATCCCGCCTCTGCTTTCATGGGGGAGTGGAATAGTAACCGCTGTTTCATGGTTGGGGAATGGGTCACGACAGGAGCCCATCGTGGGGCAAGAAGGCAGGGTCGGCGGACGAGTTGCAGCGCGTGGTGTGCGATGTAGAGACCTACAGTGGTACGTCTCATTTAACTTGACGCGAAATCCCTACAGTACGCGCGCGACTCGTCCGCTGACTCTGCCTTCTTGCCGCGCGACGGGCCTCCTGTCGTACCGGATGGTGAAGGGAGATAGAAAATGCTTGAATTCTCTCGTTCAGGAAATTGATGTGCCCCCGCTTCTATCATTGTGGAACAGCACAGAAGCACCGAACGCTGATAAGTTGTGCCTACACGGAAAGAATTGATGCAACCCGTGTTATGGAGGGTGAAAGCGATCCCAGGACTCGGAACAACCATTGATGTTATTCTTGTGAATGGACGCCTGAGAGTAGGCGATATTATAGTCGTCACTGGTACTGATGGCGCGATAATGACTCCCATTCGAGAGTTATTGATGCCACAGCCGTTGAGGGAACTTCGAGTCAAGGTCATTTTTTTTACTTGTCTTTTCAAGCGTCAAGATTGTGTAGGAATTTTCTGTTACTTGTGTCCCTCCCTTTTTTTTTATTTCTTTTACTCTTACCCTTTATATGTGCTAACTCCTCTTTGTGCTCCTGATGAAGTGTAAAGCTTACGTTCTTTTGGATTTTCAGAATGAGTATGGGCATTACAAAGAGATAAAAGGAGCACAAGGAGTGAAGGTTCTGGCCAAAGGCTTGGAGAAATGCTTAGCTGGTTTGCCGTTGTTTGTCGCTCATAAAGAAGACGAGATCGACCTGCTTAAGTAAGTCTTCTTTCGATTGATTTTTAAATCGTCCTTATTTTTTATTCTCCCTGCTATTTTAGAGCCGAGGCCGAACTACAATTAAGTCGAGCTCTGACATCAATTAAGAAAAAAAACCAGAAGGAGTTTATGTGCAAGCTAGTACCCTTGGGTCACTGGAAGCCTTGTTGGAGTTCTTGAAAACGCAAAAAAAATACGGTAGTTTCCCCCGCTCACCAGTTAATTTCCGCATGTTTCCGCACGACATTTTTTTATTTACTGATGCGATCCATTGTTGTTTAATTTAAATTTTTTTTTTCTTCAGTACTCGAATGTCAATATCGGTCCTGTCCATAAGAAAGATGTCCAAAAAGCTGCAGCTATGTTGGAGCACAAAGCAGAGTGAGTTTCTTAATAAGTTGAAGGCGCACTCCATCTTTAGGGCCGTGGGAATCGATTTTTCCATGTAGGATGGATTTTTTTAAAAAAGAAAAATATGCAGGAACCCGTGCATGGCAGTTGAATACCGATGCAGGTGTTGTTTGCGATAGAAAGGTCGTGGCCGCGGGGTGGCTGCATTTCGCACATGCTTCATTATCTCTCGTCTATTCGGTTGCCGCGTGGCAATAACTTTTCATTATGATTCAGAAAAAAGCCTCAATTCTAGGGTGTCGGCGTTTTCTTTTTATTTTTCCGTTCATTAGCGATCTAAGGGACACCTTTAGTTCGTATTAATGCGGAGTGACCACATATTTTGCTCATGGATTGTGCCTTTAAGTTTTTATGGACAGTAGTTACAATTGCAGCATTTTTCAGGTATGCATGTATTCTTGCATTCGATGTGAAAGTGGAACGAGAAGCGCAATTGTTTGCCGATCATGAAAAAGTGAAGATCTTCCAGGCCGATATCATTTACCACTTGGAAGATAACTTCCTCAAATACAGGTATACTTTTTGAGTGGTACCAGTTTCCATTTTGTCAGTATTTAGTAACAGTCGGGTTGTTTTAGAGAAGAGTTGCGATTGAAAGCACGTAAAGAAAATGAACACCTAGCGATCTTCCCTTGCAAATTACGCATTCTTCCACAACATGTGTTCAATGCTCGTAATCCTATTGTCTGTGGAGTAAACATTGAAGCTGGACAGCTCAAAAGAGGAACTCCAATTTGTGTGCCGAGCAAAGAGGTGAGCTGTCAACGCTTTCAAGTTTTTTTTTAATTTCTTTTTATTTTATTTTAGTGTATCTTCCTTGGTGCTGTGGCGTCAATAGAGAGGAATCACGAAGAAGTGCAAATGGCAAAAGCAGGAGATGAGGTGCGCAGTAATCCTTATTATTCTGTATCCTTCTGTTCATCATAGAAGTAATGACGGTCTGAGAATTTTACCGAATGGTCAAAAAATGATGCCTGAAGACTCATCAGGACCCAAATACTACTGTATAACACAAAGAAGCACGAAATTTTATTCTAAAAGTTCGCAAAATTCCAGTATTCCAATGCCAAAAACTCGAGAAACAGTTTGAAAAAACCTTCGCAATTGTCAATTCCCTTCAAAGGAATTTTTCAAATCGTTTCTGGTTTTTTTTTTTGGAAACTTTCGAGTTTTTGGAATTTTGGAACTTCTCTGAACTTTTGGAATTCTTTTGAAATAAAATTTTGGTGCCTCTCTGTGTTATACAATATTTAGGTGCTGATGAGGCTCCGGGACAGCACAATACCAAGAAAAAATGATGGTTGAAAGTGATTCGCTAAAAATATTGGAAGTTTCCATTGTCCGTGAATTATTTCCAGTAGAAGCAACGTTT